ATGCGAGACGGGACGGAGAGAGGAGAGGAGAGAGTGAGAGAGAGAGGAGAGAGAGAGAGAGGAGAGAGAGAGAGAGAGAGAAACAAACAAAGCCGAAAAGACAAGCAAAAGAACCAACACAACAATTTAAGACCAAACAACCAAACACACGAAAAATAGAAAATAAACAACACAGCCAAAACGAGAGTAGGAAACCACCCGAGCCGGGACGTGCTTGAGGAGTGAAAAAGAGAGAAGAAAGAGAAAGAAAAAAGAGAAAAAGAAAAGAAAAAGAAAAAAAAGAAAAAAAGAAAAAAAAAAAAAGAAAAAGAAAAACAAGAAAAAAAAGACAAAAAAAAAAAAAAAAAAAAAAAAATAAAAAAAAAAAAAAAAAAAAAAAAATAAAAGAAAAAAAAAAAAAAAAAAAAAAAAAAGAACGAGGGAGAAAAAGAAAAGAAAAGAAAAGAAAAGAAAGAAAAGAAAAGAAAAAAAAGAAAGAAAAGAAAAGAAAAGAAAAAAAGAAAAGAAAAGAAAAGGAAAAGAAAGGAAAAAGAAGAGAGGAGAGAGAGAGAGTTGAAGGAGAGAGAGAGAGAGAGAGAGAGCGAGAGAGAGAGAGAGAGAGAGAGAGAGAGAGAGAGAGAGACGGCGCTCCCAGGCGTGCCTCGCAGCCTCACCCGCGGACTCCCACTCACCCAGCAACAGCATTGTGCCATCCTCTCTTCCTCACCTGTATGGTCTGTCCTTGCCTTCCTCTCCTCTCTCTTTCCTCCCCCCTTCTTCTGTCTCTCCTCTTTTTTCTTTATTTTTCTTTATTTTATTTTTATTTATTTAGTTCGTTTTCTTTATTTTTCGTGCATTTTTGTGTTTTTTTTCTCTCTCACTTCCCTCCCCCTCCTTCTTGTCGTCTCTCCCTTGTTCGTTTCTTTATTTTTTCGTGTATTTTTGTGTTTTTTTTTCTCTCTTCCCTCCCCCTCCTCTTCTGTCTCTCTCTCTCTTCTTGTCGTCTCTCTCTTGTTCGTTTCTTTATTTTTCGTGTATTTTTTTTTCTTGTGTGTGGACCTTGTCGTTCTCCGTATCTTGGTTTATCTTCTTCACTTCATGTTCTTGTCTTTCTTTTCTCTTTGCTTTATCCAGTTTTTACGTCCCTTCTTTTTTTCGTTTCCTTGTCCACCTCTCACGTTATTCCTAATTTTTTTACTTTTCTATCCACCTCGTACGTTCTTTTTTCTTTTTCATTTTTTTTCTTCTTAAAGTACCTTGACTCACGATCCTAGTCACGTGATATTCTTCCCTCACCTTTTCTTTGTGTTATTTTTTCTTCTTTTTGTTTCTTCTGATCTCTTCCTCTCCCATTTCTCCTCTTCATCCCTTCCTCTGTATCCTTTGTTTATCCTATTTCCTTCTCCCCCCCCACTTCGTTTATCTATTCTTACCTTTTAGAAAATATAAAGTCTTCTTCCCCTTCCCCTATGTTTATCAAATCGCTTCCATCCCCCCTCTCATTTATCTCCCTCATTCCTCTTCTTCTTCTTCTCCTTCTTCCTCTCCACTCGCCTGTTTCCTTCCTCTTCCACTCACTTCTTCCCTCTTCCTCTTCTTCCCATTCTCCTTACTCTTCCACTCTTGTCCCTCTTCCTCTCCTACATCTCCCTCTCCCTTCCCTTCTCCTTCTTCGTCTCCCTTTCCCTCTTCCACTTCCACTCCTTCTCGTTCTCCCTCCCTCTCTCTTTCCGTCTTCTCCCTCTACCTCTACTCCCTCTTCCTCACTTTCTCTTCCACTCCCTCTCCCTCTTCTCTCCCTTCTCCCTCCTCCTCTCTCCTTTCCTTCTCCCTTCCTCCCCTCTTTCTCCCTCCTCTCCCTCTCTCCCTCACATTCTCTTCCACTCCTCTTCCTCCACTCCTTCTCCCTCCCTCTCCCTCTCCTTCTCCTTCCTCTCCCTCGTACCCTTAACCAAGGCCACGAACTGCGCACCTTCCACACCCTTCTTGAACATTTCTGTTGCTTCGTTCCGTTCATTTCGTCACTTTTCGCTCGATAAACGGCTTACTTTCCTATAGAATCTCCTTTTCTCGGGGATGATACATTGAGGGAAAAAAATGACGGGAAAGAAAAAAAAGAAAGAAAGAAAGAAAAACAGGAATATTGGTGTTATTTGTAGTTTTGGGTCGGGGGTCGGGGGTAGGGGGTAGGGGAGGGTGTACGGAGGAGGGGTAGGGAGGGTGGGGTGTGGGTTGCGAGAAGATGGTCGTTGTGCACTTTTAATCATATATAATATATATATATATATATATATATACTATATATATATATATATATATATATATATATACTATATATATAATGTTTTGTTAGGGTAATTGCCCAGCGGTATATTAAAATCGGGTTTGCTTAGAAATGCAATGAATAATAGAGAGCATTCATGCCACAATGTTTCTCACATCATATAATATATATATATATATTATATATATATATATATATATATATATATATATATATATATATATATTATAATGGTGTGAGAACAGCTTTTGACGCGCGACTTCTTCACTTTTTTTTAAGTCTATAATTTATATATCTTGAAGATCGCTCTTCTGCGCACACAAGACGCCCTCCATTCTCGACGTGGGCTTCGTCTCTTTATCTGCCTGAAGCTCCACTTCACTCACTGGAGGATCACTCTCTCTCTCTCTCTCACTCTCCTCTCTCTCCTCTCTCTCTCTCTCTCTCTTCTCGCTCTCTCTTCTTCTTCTCTCTCTCTCTCTCTTCTCTCTCTCTCTCTTTCTCTCTCATCTCTCTCTATATATATATATATATATATATTATATACATATATAATATATATATATGGTATATATATATATGTATATATATTGTATATATATATTATATATATATATATATATATATATATATATATATATGTACTTAAATCTGTGTGTATACCTGTGTATGTATGTGTATGCGGATGCAGTGTGAACACGCCGCGCGCTGTGTATAACTGCGCATATATTGTCTATATATTGGGTATATCTGTTTATGTTATTTACCTTTCTATTTACCGTTATTGTCTATCCATCCACTACAGTCATGTGTACATATGTATATAATATATATATATGTATACACATCATACTATAATACATGTATATATATATATATATATATATATAATATATATATATATTATATATTATATACATATATATATTATATATAATACATATACATATATACATACATACATACATACATACACATACACACACATGCATATATAACATACAACATACATACCATACACACACATACACATACACATACGTATCCAGCTCGTCAAAGTACAAAAGCAACGAAAGCCACTCAGCCAAGCCCTCCCCGCAGGTTCACGCTCTACCTGAAGCTCTTCGTCCTGATGGGGGTCACGGGGTGTTTCGAGGGCATCTCTTTCTTCGTCCCAGCGGCACAACGAGGCTTCCAACACTAAGTACATTTGGTAAGGAGAGTGTTTGTGCTGCAGAGGGATGGTGGTGATGATGGGGGAATAAGGGTAGGGGATGATGTGGAATAAAGGGTGGGGGGAATAAGGATGATGGGAATAGGGTGACGGGTGGGTTGATGATGGGAATAAGGGGGATAGGTGATGGGGATGGGGGGAATAAAGGGTAGGGGTGATGATGGGGTGAATAAGGGTAGGCGGTGCATGGTGGGGAATAAGGGTAGGTGGTGGGATAAGGGTATGGATGGGGAATAAGGTAGGGGTTGATGATGGGGAATAAGGGTAGGGTGATGGGGAGGGTTAGGTTGATGATGGGGAATAGGGTAGGGGTGATGGTGGGGATAAGGGTAGGGGTGGAGGGTTGATGGGAATAAGGGTAGGGGTGATGATGGGGATAAGGGTAGGGGTGATGATGGGGGATAAGGGTAGGGTGATGGTGGGAGGGAATAAGGGTAGGTGATGATGGGGAATAAGGGTAGGGGTGATGATGGGGAATAAGGGGTAGGGGTGATGATGGGGGGAATAAGGGGGGTGATGATGGGGGAATAAGGGTAGGTGTGATGGGGGAATAAGGGTAGGGTGATGATGGGGAATAAGGGTAGGGTGATGATGGGGAATAAGGGTAGGGGGTGATGGGGGAATAAGGGTAGGGGTGATGGGGAATAAGGGTAGGGGGTGATGATGGGGAATAAGGGGGTAGGGTGATGATGGGGGATAAGTAGGGTGATGATGGGGAAAAAGGGTGATGGGGGAGGGTGATGGGGGAATGAATGGTAGGGTGATGATGGGATAAGGTAGGGTGATGATGGGGAATAAGGGTAGGGGTGATGATGGGGAATAAGGATAGGGGTGATGATGGGATAAGGGTAGGGGTGATGTGGGGAATAAGGGTAGGGGTGATGTATGGGGATAAGGGTAGGGGGATGGTAGGGGAATAAGGGTAGGGTGATGATGGGAAGGGTGATGATGGGGAATAAGGGTAGGGGTGATGATGGGGAATAAGGGTAGGGGTGATGATGGGGAATAAGGGTAGGTGATGATGGGAATAAGGGTAGGGATGATGATGGGAAATAAGGGTAGGGGTGAATGATGGGGAATAAGGGTAGGGGTGATGAGGGGAATAAGGGTAGGGGTGATGATGGGGATCGGGGGTGAATGATGGTGGGGGGTTGCGATGGAGGTTTCAGTGTGTGTTATTCAGTGTTGGTGAAGGAGGAATAGGTGATAGACTAGATAGATGGGTAGGAGGGCAGGAGGGCAGGAGGGCAGAGGAGGGCAGGAGGGCAGGAGGGCAGGAGGGCAGGAGGGCAGGAGGGCAGGAGGTAGGAGGGCAGGAGGGCAGGAGGCAGGAGGCAGGAGGGCAGGAGACACCTTCTAACGCGTGACGGCTTCCTTCCAGGCTGGTGTTCGACCTGATCAACATTATGCAGGGGGTGATCATCTTCATCGTGTTCGTGTGTCGCCGCGCCGTGCTGATGCGCGTGTGCGAGGTGGTGTGCGGGAAGGCCTTCGCCATGAGGAGGTTCCCGGCCTACTACGAGAACGTCGAGGAGGACCCCGGCAACCACGAGATGAAGCACACCGTCATCTGAGGGGCGAGGCGCGAGGAGACTGAGGCGTGTGCGTCCGTTCGTGTAGCGGCACTAAAGCTCTCTCACGAGGAAGTCGGAGATCGGACACGTATGGTTTCGACGCCGAGGAAGAGGCGCGGCCGGAGTCGCGGTTCCGGAAGGGAAGCAACGGCCGGACGTTCTTCAAGACGCGGCGGCGGCTGATAACGCGTGATTTAAGCCGCGTCTGCAGGCTTTATAAACAGTCACGGGCAAAAGTCGTGTCTCGTATGAAGCTTCGAAGCCCTCCCAACTGAACCAGCAAAAGGTCACATCACGGGTGTTCGAGGCGGAATTCGAAACGTACTCGACAAGATTTCTGGCCGTGACTGTGCCAAATGATTCACAAAAAACAAAAACAAACATTAATGAAAAGTAAGCATTTTTATTCATGGATTTCTGTGTAATTACCTTCCTGCTCTTTCGAATCGGCGCTTGTCAGGCAGATGGCTTTTGGCCGACATCCATTTCCGAAGCGATACCGATTAAGCCTCGGGGTGAATTAAGGAATTTCAATCGTAACGAAATAAAAATGCAGTTATTGATTATGTCCCTATGTAATGGCCTACAAATTTTGTTGTTTCCCAAATCTGATTTTCTTTTCAAACCAAAGCATATCGGCTGTATGAGGTCACAATTTGCATTCAACAGCAAGCACCGCGAGATGCTTTCAACCAGACAATGTTCCCAGTAACGGCTTGACAATCTGCTGCTTCTACGGTATATATATACATAGACATAGACGTAGACCTGCATATAATATACATATACGTATATATCTAAATATACATATACATATATATCTGCATATGCTTATACTTATACTTACATTTATACCTATACTAAATACATACATACGTACATACGTACGTACATACATACATACATACATACATACATACATACATAATGAATATATATGAATATATGAATATATGAATATATGAATATATGATATATATATATATATATATATATATATATATATATATATATATATATATATATATATATATATATATATATAATATATATATATATATATATATATATATATATATATATATATATATATATATATATATATATATATCGTGAAGCCAGACGAGTAGCATTGCTGTACGGGGTGCTTGTTAACCGTCCATGAACAGTGCAATTTAAACTTCTGTCATTTTATTTAGTTTATAATTCAGGTTTATAAGAAATTGCTTGGATATTTACCTTCCATACATTTTTCTCTAAGACGCAATAATGTATATATTTTGTAAATAGTGTGTGTGTGTGAGTGAGTTAGAGAGAGAGAGAGAGAGAGAGAGAGAGAGAGAGAGAGAGAGAGACAGAGACAGAGAGAGAGACAGAGACAGAGACAGAGACAGAGACAGAGAGAGAGACAGAGACAGAGACAGAGACAGAGACAGAGACAGAGACAGAGACAGAGACAGAGACAGAGACAGAGACAGAGACAAGAGACAGAGAGAGAGAGAGACAGAAAGAGAGAGACAGACAAGACAGAGACAGACAGAGAGAAGCAGAACTAGACTACAGGCAGACTGACAAGCAGGCAGACAGGCAGACACAAACAGTCAGACGTTAGTCAGTCTGTCAGCCAATCAGCTAGACAGCCAATCAGCGACAGAGACAGATTGTGAAAGGGAAAAAAGTTTTAAGACAGAAATAACCTGTCGAAAAAAGTTACAAATATAAACTAATTCTTGTGAGAGTAAAGATTAAAGTCTCACTTTCAAATGAAGATTATCCACACAAACCTTTAGAATTTAGATTTTTTAAAAAGCTGAATGAATATTATTATTATTATTTTTTACTCTTATTTTCATCATTATCTTTTTGAGGACGGATCCCTCTCCCACCCAGCTATTTATTTAGTTATAGATATCTTTTAGTATATTTGTTGTGTTATGCTTTTTATCTATGAGCCAGTATATATGTGTGTATGTTTGTATGTTGTGCAACAGTACATTAAAGTTGTATTCATGTGTGTATATATATTTTCTAGAGAATGTCTTGATATGTGTTTCTGTCAAAACTTGGTAATTAGTTTGTTATTATTGTTGTTATTACTATTATTATCATTATTATTGTTATTATCATTATTTTTGTTATCGTTATTTTTATTTATCATTCTTATTCGTATTTTATTTTTAATTATGGGATTATTATTATTTATTATTAGTTATTATTATTATTATTATTATTCTAAATGATAATGATAATGATTATTATTGTTACTATTATTATCATTGTTATTATCATTCTTTTATCATACCATAATGATAATAATTTCATATGTAAATTTTATTATGAATTCCCCAGTTACCACTGTTGATAATAGGCATCATACTTCTAATCTATTATGAGAGGATGCTAATGGTAATTCCATCTACCTTGTAATATAGTGTATAACAACCCCTAATGATACTACAGGATTTACAGCAGCTCTTGTGTAAATACTTTGTGTCTGTTTATGCTTATGTTACTCCTGTGTAAATATATCTAATTGGATATGTAGTTTTCCTTGTACATAGGAAAAAAATATGTGAGGAATATCGGTTATTGTTCTGAGTTGTAGTAAACTTTGAAGCATCTTTTATTTCATCAAAGTCTCCTCATAATGTTGTTGTTGTAAGATGCACATATTTGCGCTTTGTGTATTGTCTGTCAAATATAAAAAGGAATAATTATAATGAGAGCTACTATTATTTAATCCTTTTAGAAGTTTAGAAGTTGGACCTCGCTCCCCTCCTTCTAGAGTGGGGGGTGGGTGGGGGGGGGGGGTAGGGCGGTCGCTTTAGGCCCGATCTTATCAACTACATTAGTTAACAACCTAACAACCGCTACAAACAACTGACTCCTTGTTCACTATGCCGATGACTCAGTTTCTTCACGCTGCCCCGAAAGCAGCTTAAAAATTGATAAGAAATAACGGATTCTCAAACTAAACCCTGATTAAACATAGAATCATGACAGGCAGTCGACGAAAAATGACATAATACCCAAAGGCACAATCGTATAATTTAAAGACTATCATATTAAAACCAAGAATTTCCGTTAAAAAAAAAAAAAAAAAAAAAATGAGTACACATAGACCGCTGCATGGCATTTAAGACACATAGACAACATTTACAAAAAATAACGGCTTGCTAATACCTAAATCATATAAAAACAGAATCCCACTGATACGAGAATTACTGTTGTACAACCGTTGCATTCAGCACCATAAACTACTGCTCCAACATATGGGTCTCAACTAAGAAAACAAATGTGGAAAGAACAGAAACTGCAAAGAGTGGCAATAGGTAATATATATATATATATATATATAATATATATAATATATATATATATATATATATATATATATATACATACATACATATTTATAATACATACATACATATATACAATGCATACATATATAAACATATATACGCATATATACACACAGCAGTTCCAGCAATGAAGTCTGCAAGTCTGCAGGTTGCATCTGAAGCCATGAACTAACCAGAAATCAGTGCTTCATCATCTTGGAAATGTTTGCCCTTCAAAAATGACTTCATGAACAAAAAAGAGGTGAAAGTCAGATGATGTAAGATCAGGAGAATAAGGGAGATGAGGAAGGATGTCTTAGCCATAGGACTGCGCTTCCAACTGACCAATGTAAACATGGGCGCTGTAGGAGGCGAAAGCATCTGGTCAGCATTGTAAGCTCCTGTTATTGTATTACCTTTTGCCAGAAAATCCACCGTTACTACTCCATGCTGCCCCCCCCCCCACCCCCAAAATGTGAACATGACCTTGCCTGGCGTGGTTGTGATGCGTGCCTTTTTGGGGGTGGTGAGTCAAAGCGCCTTCCTTGTTTGGGCTGGTCCTTAGCTTCTTGATCATAGTGATCCTCCTGCGTAATTAGTCTTAAAAAAAAGTCCTCATAGTTTCCTTGGCACACGGCTAAAAGAGCCTTGGAACAATGGATTCATATCTGATTCTGGAAAGGTGGGAATAGCCTGGGAATCCATCGAGCAGACAACTTTTGGATCTGAAGTTGGTCACGAATGATTTTATCCACAGACCCAACACCAATCTTGGTATTTTGTGCTAGATGACTAACAGCAATACGACAATCTTCCCAATTGGCAGACTGCTCTTGACGGATGGTATCCTCACCAACGGCAGACTGAGGTCCCCTTGGGATAGAAGCCATTTCCACAAATCTCCAACCACGCCTTTAATAACGGCATTTAATGGGCCATCCTCCGAACAAGCTTCATCTCATCGAAGGTCTCTTGGTGTATAAAAACCTGATCACTGCCCGATAACCCAGGATTAGCGGAAGTGGGTCAGGGTATATCTTTAATGTACGCCATTCGTGTGTATGGATGTATATATTTGTGTGTGTATGCGTTTATACATATTCAAGGCACAAACGCACACATAACACGCACATACGTACATATAAATGTATGTGTATATATATATATATATCACGCTCAAACTGCAATTTAGAGATGCCGCCACCTACGCCCACTATCTTTAAAAATGCGAGGTGCCCAACTCTACTCCATAGCCTTCCATAGCACCCTCGACCATCTCATCTGTTTAAGGGGTCTATAAGGGGTATACGAGTACTCAAACCATATCCATTCTCATTTACTCTGTGATAGCTTTCCATAGCACCCTGGATCAATTCTGTAACCCTTGAAATTGTTAAGGGGTGTATTTAAGGGGTCTATAAGGGGTATGAAAATATCCATACCGTACTCAGTCTAATTTAGTAATTTACTCTGTGGCAGGTTTCCATAGCACCCTAAATAAACCCGCAACCATGTACTGTTGCTTCAATATTTAAGTGGTATTTTAGTTTTTTTTTCGTGTCCTGACCCCTTATAGGGATCCCTTATCAGAACGCCACATAGCCTAAGCCACGCAGGACCTCGAGACCTTTCTAACACTCGCTCCAACTCATTGTGGTTGCTGAGAAAAAGTTAACTCAAGTAGGTCTCTGGTTATGGTTATGGTTTACGGTATGAAAGTTGATATATAGCCCTGTGGCCGGCCCCCTTGTTTTCGGTTCAGTTGGATGGGGATTGATTGTCTGTTTTTTTTTTTTTTTTTTTTTTTTCCAGAGCAGGATCCCTAGACAGGGAATATATATATATATATATATATATATATATATATATATATATATATATATATATATATATATTTGTGTGTGCATACATATTCAATATTATGCACACACACACATATATATATATATACATATATATAATATATAGACAACATACATACACATACACACACACACACATATATATGTACACACACACACACACACACACACACACAC